CCAACTCCCAGAATCCCTCAGCCGGCCGTGTCTGTTTCTTTTTCTCTGACTCATCTTATCCCCCAAAGAGGAGAGATTGCAGAGGAAGGGATTACAAGAGAGTAAGCTGTGCTGACTGGGGAGAATTCTGGGAGTTGGAAGTCCACAAATCTTCCAAGTTGCCAAGTTTGGAGACCTCTGACTTAAGTGTTCAGAAGAATAGAATAGAGCTGGAAGGGACCCTTGGAGGTCTTCCAGTCCAACCCCCTGCTCTCAAGCAGGAGACCCTGTAACATTTTGGACAGCTGGCCCGTCCCGTCTCTTCTTAAAAGTTGTGAAGCACCAGCAACTTCCATTCCACTGATTGTCTTCGCTGTTTGGACGTTTCTCCTTAGTTTCAGGTTGCTTCTTTCTTATAACAGAGCTGGAAAGGACCTCGGAGGCCATCTAGTCCAACCCCCTGCTCTCAAGCAGGAGACCCTATGCCATTCTGGACAAATGGCTCCCCGGTCTCTTCTTAAAGGGCTCCAGCGATGGAGCAGGAAAAAAGGCTGTTGCGTTGATTATTTTTTTTCTCACAGTCAGGAAATTCCTCCTTGGTTAGTTTCCACCTGTTGTTTCTTGTCCTGCCTTCAGGGGCTTTGGAAAACAATTGGACCCCCTCTTCTTCTTTGGGGCAGCCCCCTCAAATACTGGAATACCGCTGTCATGTCCCCCACCCCACCCAGTCCTTTTCTCCAGACCAGCCAAACCCAAATCCTGCAACCATTCTTCGTACGTTTTAGCCTCCAGGCCTTCAGTCCTCTTGGTTTTCTCTTCTTTGCACTTTTTTTCCAAAGTCTCAGCACCTTTTTAGTCATTTAGAAGTGTTGCTGGCTGGCAGAATAAGCTTTGCCCCAAACTGGAATTTGGCTATGACCCCCTGAGAAAACAAATGGTAATCAGTAAAATACACGAGTGTGCTGAGATAGACAGACTAACCAAACTCGTAAAACAAAATAATCAAGAAAAATAATCAAGAATAATCAAAAAATAATCAAGAATAATCAAAAAATAATCAAGACAGTGACTACTGCAAGGTATGGGATATCTGGTATGATCGGTTAAAGAAAAGGTGGTATCTGATCATTTGACAATATACTTTATTTATACTTTATTTATTTGATAGTTTGGAACATCAGTAATAGAAAAGGATGAGTGTAACTATCGTTCAAAGCTCGCTGTAAAATATATGTACATATATATGTTTGTTTTTAACCACACAAATGTTGAATGGAAATTTTTTTTTTTTTTTAAATGTTGCTGGCTGGGGAATTCTGGGAATTAAAGCCCGCAGCTCTTAAAAAGCGGGCCACTTTTGCAAAAACCCCAGTGTCCCTTCAACACTGCTTATTTTTATTTTATTTTTTTTATGGGACAGGTGGAGTACCAGTTCCTCTCCCCCTACGTCTCTCCCAGGGAGACCCCCTTCCGCCACATCCTCCTGGGCTCCGGCTCCCACACCACCCAGGCCCTGCTGGAGCACGTCTTCCTGCTCCGGAGCAACGCCAGCGCCTTTGACGAAGACCTCTTCAAGAACCAGCTGGCGCTCATGACGTGGACCATCCAAGGAGCAGCCAACGCCCTGGCTGGCGACGTTTGGGACATCAATAACGAGCTCTGAAAAAAAAAACCCTGATCCACCCCCCCCCCCCCCCCACCCCTCCAAAAAAAACCCCTTCACCCCCATCCTCTTCCACCACCACCCCAAACCCGTTGCCCAGTTACACACCTTCCCTTTAGCTTTTCAGCTGGATTTTTAGAGGGTCCCAAAGTCGAGGAGGAGAAGGAGGGATTCAAATCTTGGGAGAGATTTTTAGGTGCGGATCGATGTCCCGGCCTGATGTGGCTAACAAGGCCCCCCGCATCCCCGTAGCAATCGGAAGGAATTCCGTTTTCCGGAGTAAGCGAAACCCCCTGGCTGGACAGAAAAGTCCCCTAAGCCGACCGCGTTCCGGTCGGCATTGAAACTCTTCCCGCCGAGCAAAAAGGCTTAAATTGGCGGTCGCCTGCTTGGGGAGGCGGGGACCAAGTTCGAATCTCCTCCCACGCATATTGGCATCAGCCCTGGAACGTGGAGCCCTTCTACCTTAACTCTGTCCGGTTCCCCTCGGGCCACTTACTCCGGGGAATGAGGTGAATGGGGATTGAGGTCCGGCGGGCACGATTTGGGAAATTTAGGCAACGGGGAGCCCTTTTTCGGGGCCAGCCGGGTTTGCCTTTGGTCTTCTTGCTTTGTGGCCAACCGGGAAACCACGCGAGCCTTTCCGTCGGTCCCACTAGGGATGGAGGGCGCATTCCCGCGGCCTCCTTGGTCCTGAAGATATATTTATTAGTTATTTATTTATCAGTGACAGTGTTCACTATAAATGCTATTTGTGTTCTACCGAATATAATTATCGGAAGCAGTGACTTCCATAATTATGACAGTTATACTGTCGTTGTTTTGATATTAAGTAATAAAAGCAGCATCTGCTAACCATGAGGAGAACTGGAGATTTTGGGCTTGGGGAGGCCCTGAAGCCTTCACTGGCCTGGAGGAATGGCAGCGAATAACTTCGAGGAGGGCGAAAACCAAAAAAAACTCCCCGAGGTTTTAGAAACGGAGGCGAGGCGGGGGGAAGAGTGAATTTCCCTCCACCGCGGCGTTTCGAGAGAGGGTCCGCAGTCGCTGCCGTTTTCTGGGGTTGCGCGGTGGGATGGCAGGAAACACCCTGGCCTCCTTCTGGATGCGCCAGGATTTGAGCCGCCGTGCCCAGCTGTAAATCCCGACCGTGTTTTGGAGGGCAAATTTGGTCTCGATCCCTCTGCACCGGGGTGCGTGCGCGTGCGTGTCCAACCTCGGCAACTTTTAAGACTGGTGGACTTCCAACTCCCAGAATTCCCTAGCCCAGCCGCGCATCTCCACAGAGGGATCGCAAGAGAGTTAAGTCGTAAGCTGTGCCGGCCGAGGGATTCCGGAAGCTGAAATCCACAAGCCTTCAAAAGTTGCCAAAAATTTGGAGACCGGCCCCGTTGGGAATCTGGTCCACCTCCCCTAAGATTTTTGCCTATCCAGAAGCGGCCAGCGACTGCAGACCCCTCCCCACGTGGGCCTCAACCTAGCCCTCCCCTCGCCTTTGCCGGCGAGGGATTCGGCGGAAGGGAGCCGGCTGCGGGTTCTGGCAACCCATCTCCGGGCCAAAAGCAGCCTCCAAAAAAGTCCTGCAGAACCAACCTCCAGTCCTGCCAAACCGTGACGGTGACTCCCATTATCGGGGGCAGGGTCTCCCATAATGTCCCAGAACAAGGTAGCTTTTGCCTACCACGAGTGTTTATATCGGAGGCAGTGACTTCCATATGTTGCACTACAGTAGGGTGTCTTTATAATTATCGGGGACAGTGTTCCCCATAATTTTATTTTTATCAATGCTCATCACCTGCGGAGCATGATCGTTAGTATCTAACATGAATTATTGGAAACCTGGTACGATTGTCTCTTTCTGTCTCAAGGCATTGGGGGTAGTGGGGGGGGGGGAGAACGTGCCCCCTCGGCACTGGCCTGTTTTTGGGGGGGGGCGGGGTGGAGCATCATCGCCGACTCTGGCTTGGCCAAGTTTGCTCTGCTTATTAACCCCAGCGCCCAACAGAAGCCTCCCCCGCCACCACCGGCCTGGTGGCTCTGGCTTCTCTTCCCCCACCCCCCTAACCCCCCTTTGCCTTAAGGAAATAGAACGACCGCCTCTCCTCTCTCAACCAGGAATCCTGGCTTGTTCTCCACATAGCTTCAGGCATGCAGGAATGATGCCCGATGATGAGCCTAGAGCCGCTTCTGGCTTTTGATGCGGGCTCACAAAAAGGCCATCGTGCGTTTCTTAAGGGGCGTGGATTTCTTTTTTTTTCTCTGAATCTTCATCGGTGTCCTTGTTTTTCTCACCCCTCCATCTCTCTCTCTCTCTCTCTCTCTCTTTCTCTCTTTCTCTCGTTTGAAAAACTTGTAATGGCTTCCTAGGTAAATGTATGTATGGGAATCGCTTGTGATAACAAACAATCTTCTGGGTAAGTCAGGAAGAACCTGGAAAGCCATTGACAGATGCTGTTGGTGGTTTACACCCCCCCAGCCCCATCTCTAGCCAAAACATCTGGTCTAAACCAGGGGGGGGGGTCTCCAGCCTTGGCCACTTTTAAGACTTGTGGACTCCCAGAATTCCTCATCCAGCCGTGTCTCTCTCTCTCTCTTTTGCTCCTATCTCCTCCAAAGTGGGAAGATTGCAGAGGAAAGGATTACAAGAGAGTAATTTATGCTGGCTGGAGAATTCTGGGCGTTGAAGTCCACAAGTCTTAAAGCTGCCAAGGTTGGAGACCACCCCCCACCCCCCGGTCTAAAAAATCTTTTAAGGTTGACTTTGAACTGTAATTTCCTGGCCTTGGCTTTCCAAAACGCATAGCTTGCTTGTGGGTTGTTGTTGTTTTTTTGCCATTGGCAAGAGCGGGGCGTGTAAAGGAAACAATCAAACATTGAACTTGCACATGAAAAAACCGACTCGAAAATAAAGAGAATTTCAGCCGTGCTCGCTACTAAAATAACCTTGGTGGGATTTTTGAGCAAGCTGGAAAGACGACGGTGCCCGCACTTTGGGGGAGAGGGGGGTCATCTCTGGGTGTCGGTCATTCAGTTCAAATCAAAAGCTTGTTGCATTTCAGACCTCTCTTCGTTTTGTGTGAAGAAGGGGGGCGGGGAAGAAAAGTTGGCTTAGCAAACCTTCCTGTGCGAGGTTTCCTTCCCCGTGTTTCGCAAAGCAGAGGTGTCTCTTGCGTGTGTTAATTGTTTCCATAGCCCTGCATGCGTCCTGGGTGCGTTAAAAAGACATTAGATGTAGTTGTGTAAAAGAAAACCGTATTTTACATGGGCCCAGGCACCAATGTGACCAAAGTAGTGCCGGTGCTCATCCTGATAAGTTACAACTTTTTTTTCTCTAGAGTTAAAGAGGCCACTGTCTTGATGCAGTCACTGTTTGAAAAAAAAAAATGCAAAACCTGACTTCCTCTCTCCTTCATTAAAAGGAAAAAATACCCAAACCGGCAGCTTGGAAAATGTGCTTTATTGTGGGGGAGATTTGCGATGGGGTGGCGGTAGGGATAGGAGGTGAGCGGTGGGACGTATGTTTGAAAGAAAGGTAGTCCTTGACTTAAGGGCCACAACAGAGCCCCAAATTTAGGCTGCTAAGGGAAACATGGGCGATGTTTTACCTCCGTTTTACGACTTTCCTTGCCACGGTTGTTAAGCGACTCGCAACTGTTTCATTAATAACACGGGTGTTAAATCTGGCTTCCCCCCATTGGGGTTGCTCGTCAGAAGGCCACAAAAGGGGTTCTTATTTATGCAACCGTCACAAATACAAGTCAGTGGCCAAACATCTGGATTTTGATCCATGGGGATGCTGCAGGCCTTGTAAGTGGGAAAAACGCCCTTCAGTCAACTTGCTTTCCATGCCGTTGTAACTTTGAACGGTCACTAAATGGAACCGTTGTAAGTCAAGGACTGCCTCTGGTGCTTTGCCACCCAGGAAAGTGAAGCCCTTTGCTCTGCCCCATCTGGAGAAAGAAACACGTTGGGTGGAAGGCAGGGAGAAGGACATCTTGGGAAGGGAGGATCTCTCAATATTTTATTTTATTGCTTGTTATTGTACAATTTTCTTAGTTACGTACAGGATTTCTATATTCACAGTAACAGTATAGTATCTGGGTACAATCTCTACATTCTCTATTGAATACCAATGGAATATTTATTCTATTGAACAAGTCTTACGCACACAATAGTTATAACTGAGATATTCTCAATATTGAGATATTCTCAATATCTTTTCATCTTATCCTTGTTATGAATTTTACATTATTTGATTAGGCCTTCTGTTCAATTTTATCTGTCATCCACTCATAGTACCAAACATGTACAAACATCAAGTAGACATCACATGGCCAATTAACCTCCAAATCATCTGAAGGTTTGCTTAATTATTCGATGTTCGTTATTCCATTAGACATCTTATGTTTACATATCCAGATTTCTAACTTCTACTATTTTCTACCCATTAGTAGAATAGTTCCCAAATCAAAAAGTTACCTTCTCCCCATTTTTTATTTATTTTATTTATTTATTTGATTTGTCAATCGCTTACAAGATAATAGGTATAAGTATATACATAGTTTTGAATACATGAGATGGATACTTATAAGAAAAATAAAAGAAACAATAGGACAGGGACGGTAGGCACGATTGGTGCGCTTATGCACGACACCTACAGACCTCTTAGGAAAGGGGTGAGGTCAACAGTAGACCGACTAAGGTTAAAGTTTTTGGGGTTTGGGGAAGAAACCACAGAGTCAGGTAGAGGATTCCAGACATTGACCGCTGCAGTTGTATTTCCTGCAATCAAGTTTGGTGCGATTAACCTTGATTAATTATTTCTATATTATAATTATATTATACAAATTATAATTTCTATGTACTAATTCTTGACGATATAGCTCCTGCGTTGAAACGGTATTGTGCATTCATCCCTCATCTCTTGCCCATTTTTGTGTATCAACTATACATTTTAGAATAAGAGCAGAGTTGGAAGGGACCTCAGAGGTCCTCTAGTCCAGCCCCCTGCTAAGGCAGGAGACCCTAAAGGGCGGAAGTATGAAAAATGGTCGTAAGTCGTGACTTTTTTTCAGTGCCCTAGTAACTTGGGTCAGGCGCTAATTGAACTGTCGAGGACTACCTGTATCCCAGTGGGCAAAGAACCTTTTTAACATTTCTTTGTCTGAAATAGTATGTAGGGTTTCTTGCTTGAGGTGAGGGTTGGACTAGAAGATCTCCAAGGTCCCTTCCAACTCTGTTATTCTGTTAAAAAGAGCACTTTACTTTTCCACTCTGTTCTGAAAACAGTGGCTTCAGGTTGGATGGGGACAACAAAAGGTGCAACCTTGGTAAGGTAGAAAAATATGGGATAGACCGCATCACCTCCGGTTGGATTTGTAACAGGCTGGCAAACCATATTCAACCAGTAGTCCTTAAATGGCACTACACCTACACGGAGGGAAGTAAGCAGTGGGGTGCCACAAGGCTCCATCTTAGGCCCAGGACTCTTCAATATCTTCATTAACGACTTAGAGGAGGGACTAGAAGGGGAACTTATCAAATTTACTAAGATGATACTAAGCTGGCAGGAATAGCCAACACCCAAGAAGATAGACTCAAGATCCAGATGGATCTTGACAGACTAGAACCCTGGGCCACATCTAACAAAATGAAATTTAATATGGAGAAAAGCGAAGTTTTACACCTGGGCAGAAAAAAACCAAAAGGATAAATACCGGTGAAACTTGGCTCAAAAACTAACTGACCTCAGAGTCCTAGCGGAGGATTCCTTAACCACAAGCCAGCCGTGTGCGGCAGCCGCCCCAAAAAGCCAATACAATCCTGGGTGGCATAAACAGGCGTACAATCAAAATCGCGTGAAGAAGTAAGCACTGCTTTGTAAAGCCTTAGTAAGGCCACACCTGGAATCTCTGTGTTCAACGTTGGTCACCACAGCACACAAAAAAGATGTTGAGAATTTGGGAAAAGGGCAGAGAAGAGCAACCAGGATGATGAGGGAACTGGAGACTAAAACGTACGAAGAACCGTTGCAGCAGGATTTGGGTTTGGCTGGTCTAGAGAAAAGGGGGGGACATGAGAGCATCTTCCAGTATTTGAGGGGCCGCCCCAAAGAAGAAGAGGGGGGGGTCAAATTCTTCCCCAAAGCTCCTGAATGTAG